AAATGTACCTAAATAGCTGTAAGATTTAAATTGTTGTTTTTCCAAAATAAATATGGATATACTTTATTTAATTCTATACAATTATTAATTTATTTTTAATTAAAGCTCAAATTTGAGAAAAATTAAAAGATATAAAAAGTGATATGTACCTAATTAGTTAATCTAACGTCCTGTCAGGATAGACAATAATGGCAGACGCTTGGCAAAAACAACAAAGTTTGTTGACCTGACTTTTTCATTATGTGTATAAATGTTTTTATAAATCATACATTTAATATTCATATTATAATTAATATTAATTTTTGATATTTTTAAACACCCGGAATAAACAATAATACACATGGTAAGAATAATAACCTCATTAGACGCGGTTTTGTCCAAAACACTTTTGTTGTTTTTCCCAATCGTCCACCATTTAAAGCCACGTGATTTAGATTACCTGATTGTCGGATCACGTGACTTATGTCAAAAAATATCCAGTGTAATCATCCAGTAGGACTGTCGAGCAGTTGGACAGAATATATCCATCTGGGCATTTACCATTGGGGTGATAAAAACCTACCAAATGGCCACTTTCAGAAATGGGGCATCTAATGACTTCTCGGCGATGTTATTAGCCTGCAGGAATTGAGAGGCTGACCATTCTTAGACAGCCTGGTAGCTCAGTGCGCTGAGCTCTTGTGTATTAAATTACGAACGGTCCACGCATAGGTTTGGATATCACACCAAATAAATGTATATTTTTCATTAATAGCAATACATAATTTCTGTTGAAATGTCATCTAGAGTAATCCCAATGAGTTACCGTGTCAATGATGGTGGGTGGGATTTTCTGTTTTCTCCATCTATTAGTCAAATGGTACCATCAATCATTTGTAAGTCGCCCCGGAGCGCCACGACACATAATATTAATAATAATAATAAATGGCATCCCTACCCCTCACAAACACTGCTTCTGAGGTTAAACATTTACTCTAAACCAGCAGGCCTCTGACGAACTGCGAGGTAGGCCCTATTTGCCGGAGAGAATGCTCAATGGTTCGAGTGAAGCCTAGTACTGTGGGACAACCCACTTTTTCCCTCCATAGCAGAAGAAGTGGGAAGAAAAAACGACAGGGTAATCCGGAAATAACACAAGACCAAAAAAGAGGAAGACATCAACAAGAAATCACAAAACCAAGGACCGTTACTTTTATACCTGTCCCACATTTTATATTGAAAAAAAAAAATAAAGAAAACATTAACCGAAATCTTATTTTATATATGATCAGTGAAGACACCTATATGTCTATCTAACATTCTAACAACAGGAAGTATGGAAATACATCGATCAGTAAGATATTAGGACTTTAATCTAGTCCATATCTAGATATGCAGGCTATCGTTAGGGCCTAAGGTACTACTTTGTTTAAATTAATATTTGTTTAAGTATTTACGCAAATTAAGCCGCTTTATTTTTCATATTTTGCATATACTATAATGTAACCCAATCAAATGATCGAAGTAATATCAATCCAAAATTTAAAATTTGAGGGATGTTAAAATTATGGTTTCCACGTTATCTGGACTGATTTGATTTTGAACCAAAAACTGAAAGACGATTAAAAAGAAGTAAGTATTGTTATAGTGAATTTCAGGTTTGTAAAGCATTGACCTAAACTGTTCCATGTGGCCTATTGATTAGGTTGTTGATTTTTTTGAACTTCAAGCAATTTATATACAAATATTTAGGCCTTATTACCCCTCAAGCCTGCTCACATGGGTCATTTGCCTCTTAAGTATGACCTATTAAAAATATTTGATTCTTTAACCCAGCACATGTAAAAATATTTGGTCTCTTTACCTCTTATACCTCCCCATGTAAAAATATTTGGCATCTTTACCCCTTAAACATGCACATACAGTATGTTCCCCTAAGTTGAAATCATATGGAAAACTTTTTTATTATTATTTTTAGGAGAAAAAGTTATTTTTCATAAAAAGTTCTGCATTATCTAAAACCTAGAATACAGTCATCAAATATCAAATTTTTTCAGTGGTATACGAGGTTTGTCAAAAAATATGAGTTTTACTCAAGAGTAAAGTACCTTTATTCTTTATAGGACTGATAAAATTTGATATCTGATGGTTGTATTTTAGGTTTTAGACCATGCTCGACTTTTTATATAGAATAACGTTTTTTCCTAAAATTAATAATACAAAAGTTTTCCATATGATTCCAACTTAGGGGGACACACTGTACAAAAATATTTGGGATCTCCACACATTGAGTACAAATATTATGGTCCTTTATTTCTTAGGCCTGCCCATGTAAAATATTTGGATCTTTTACCCGTTAAGCCTGCCAATCTAAAAGTATTTAGGCCCTTTATCCCTTAAGCCTACACATGTAAAATAATATTTGGAGCTTCTACATGTTTGATCACAATATAAAATTCTGGAATTCGTTGAAACTTTTGAAAAAATAATTTTCCTCAATGCCTATTATTTTATCTAATATTCAGCGCAAACCGCGTTGGCACGACCGGTTGAGCGACGTTCCAAGAATGCCGAAATTAAGTAGAAGATAGGCACAGGGCACAGTAAATGTGTGCCTCTATTGTTTTCTCTCATTTTAACGCGAAAAACAAGGACAACGACAATATCGCTTAGCAAGAGATGAACAGATGCGGTGGATTATACGTCCCAAGCGGGGCGATGTCCTCTTTGTGACGTGCTGTACCCATGGCACAGATTACTTAGAGCAGATACGAATGTACGCAGCGGCATCTTTACCGGCTCCCTCACAAAGGCGATGCTGGTTTTGGCTTAAGGTGCACGTTTATTGGACCATGATAATAATTTATTTATTGTGATTACGAAAAAAACGTTAGTTGGACCATTGGAATAGTTAAGAAATAAAACTACAAAGAAAAATAACGTTTTTTTTATAAAGCAGTCAAAAATATGATGAAAAAAAATCAATATTTATAAATGGGGCAAAATTTTAATTTTTCTTTTGGTTTTGTCTGATTTTCTCGAGGATTTCAAATCTCTGTTTGCATATTTAAGAGTATAAAAAAATTCTGAGTCTTATAAATAATTTAATGGTGTACATTTTCGCAAATTGTTTGCAAGGATGACGAAATTCTATTTTCCTCATCTCAAAAAGTTATGCGTTGGAAATTCCAGGCTTATTTGACAAACTATCAAATAGAGATATAGATATTTTTTCTAATTCGAAAATATAGAAGAGAAATTTTTGCTGGGAGATTTTAAATTGCCAAACAGCTTTTCTTCAGAGTCGTATGCTTTAAAATGCGTTAACAAGTTAGAATTGTTAAGTAAATTGCATTCTTCTGAGAAATTTACGCAAATTTCGCAAGAGTGGATACGTTATGATTTTTTGATTAAATAGCCACATACATAGTTAAATGTATTTTGAGTGGTCACATTTAGCTCCCTGTAGTCACATTCAGAAATTGTTATTGCCCTATCTGATTGTTTTGAAATATATTTAATTTTCATTAAGCGGAGAACTTGTTTTCCTAAGGGAAAAACGAATCCCGGGATTCCTTTCCAGTGTGTGCCCCTCTGCCGCTAGTGCCCACAAGCCGCCACTGTGATCCTGTATAGTATTCGCGTAGTATTGCAACCTAAAACAATTATTTTCACTTAAGTATGACGTCCAGTTACAATATATAACCTCTGAAATGCAATATTTCAAAAGACGTTTAAAAAGCTTTAAATAATATATTTGACTTTTAAGAATGACAAGAATATAAAAAGTCCGCGGTTTCAGAGTTGACAACAGACCCGTCAAGAGGGAGGGACAGGGGAGCAAAATCCAGTGTTTTGCGGCTCCATCGTGGCTCTCGGCGGCACTGGTTGACAAACTTGACTATCTAGTGAAATCGAAATCAGTATCTATATCTCAGTACTTAAAATAAGCTCCATAAGAAATGTATTGCATTTTAAAAATACTGTTATATAAAGTACTATGGTTAAATCGAAAATTCTGAAGATCAATATGGTTCTCACTTGGAAGAATTATTAAATAAAATCGAAACCGCAAGTCGATCGGAGCTTTGCTTCTAGAGTTATCGTGTCAGCGCACATACATACCTACATACCCACGCACATACGATCACATTATATTTTTTATTATCTTTTAGAAACATGGCGAATAGTGTTAAAAAGTGGGGGCAAAAAATATTGAGACTGATGATATATAGGTAGGGTTGCCAGACGTCATGCTTTAGGCGTATTTTCCACGCTTTTTGATTTGCTTGTACGCTCAACGCCACAGTACGAAAATGTCCCGCTTTTGAGAAAAATGCCGCTCTTTTTATACAAATGGCACGCTTTTTTATGCAAATGGCACGCTTTTTTATGCAAATGGCACGCTTTTTTATGCAAATGGCATGCTTTTTAATTTTCAAAGCAGTAAATAAATTAAAAGGAAGAACTGGATTTATAAAAAAATAGAAGGTGAAGACCCTTTTTTTAGATAAATACCGGCTAAAGGACCATATTTTTCGAATACAAGCTGAGGACCTATTCTTTTAGAAATTTCACAAATAATGGACCTGCTTATATAAAAATTCTTAGTATTTGAACCTGATGCTCCTGTCGTCATGGTTGCCACGCTTTTTACTTTCGTAAATCTGGCAACCCTATATATAGATAGGGGGGCATTACAAAGTACAGTAACCACTGGGTAATAAAATCATCCTCTGGTCTTAAAAACAATGTAAATATTGATATATTCTAGTACCAATAGTAAACTTAAATCTGACTTTAATCTAATAACCAATTAATAATTATCAAATATTTATAATTAAGAAATTGACCAAAATTGCGGTCTCCAGCTTTGACTGTCGCTAAATTATTTTAAGAGCCCGCAAGAAAATTCCGGGACCGACCGACAACCTTGCGGCTTTCCGGTCGCTTTAACTCCCACTTCGGTCAGCTTAGGTGCTTGCAGTTTAAAGTGGAGGAATACAAGGTTTTAAAAAGCCAGAAATCATAAAGAAGTACCAGTCGCTGCACCGTGTAAATATAGGGTAGTGTTACAGACCGTCAACCGTGCGCGAGTCACTGCCAGGTGACTTTCATTTGTTCAAGATGAACGGTTTACTTATTTTCTTTGTACTTGCAATTTTTTTTGTGGTTAGCGAATCAGTGAGGGTTGGATCTAGGAGAAAAGGTGAGTTTCTAATTCATAAAAGTTGATTTCTAATTGAAATTTGGTCTTTTTTTGACCTTAGCCGCACGAGTGACATTTTTAAGTTTTTAACTTTTTTTAAGCTAGAAGAAAGTCTATTCAAATGTCTTAGTGCTTTCATTAGATTATGAGGCAATATAAATGTCGCCTTTGTAATTATCCTGTGGGAATTTTATACTTTTTTCGAATTATAACTATACACAATTAAAATCTGAGACGTGCGACATGCGTATAAAATTAATAAGCCACTTTTGGAACAGACAGGCGTACGAAAAGTGCTACATTTCTAGCCGTAAAGAGAAGATTCCAGTAGGAATCTCTGACGAGTCCAGGAAGTGCACGAGTCCTGAAAACCAATTTCTAGATGTGTATCGTGCAAACAAAACACAAATAATTTATTATCCATATTTTTTTTAATACCTATCTCTTTATTAACATTTTTATTCACAATATTAACAATACCTACTTGGTAGAATTATTATCAACAATTTACCATAATATAGTGAACATTCAGTATTTTCTCGTAATATTATGATTACCTAGGTATGTAACGGGCAATTTGAAACACTTCGGTCACTTCCGGATTATTGCGGTAAAATTTTACTTTCGGAACAAATTGGCTAGAATGCATGTTTTCGGGTTTTTAGTGAACCAATACTTAATTATACTTTTTGGTTTAAAATATTTTACGAAAAAATTACATAAAATGCTTTATGCAGTGTTCGCGTTTGTTTTTTTTTTATATTTACTTTACGTAAATTGAATGGTTTTGCTTCGATAATAATAAAAAATGATAACGATTTTTTCTGTCAATCGGCTATATAAATTAGGTTAATTTTCAAAATTTCGAAAAATGTCAAGTGAACAAGTTGTTTTCTTTTTCGGTTTTCCACTCACCTACAAATTTGAACGAATTTGGACAACTCTTATGATTCATTACAAGCTTGCTTAACCTAACAACTTTTCGAATTTATACAATACAAAAAGAACAGTTACAGAAAAAATCGTCACAGTTAATTTTTATTATCTTCGAAGCAAAAATTGTTCATGAACTCTAAATTTGCGTAAACTGTAGACTAAATAATATATTTTTTAGAAAAGTAATTTATTTTAAAGAAAACTGCATGTATCCAATGTGTTAACTCGTTATACCTTAGCTATGAAAGATAAGATCAGAGATATTTTAAAACAAAAATTAGTAGTTTTATTAAAGTGCAAATTTACCATTTATATACATCTATGTTCATATTTTTCAGCTAACTCAGAATAGTTTAATAAATAATTCAAACAGTGGTTAAATATAATAATTTTGTTATTTATGCATTGAAGTACATCTTGTACATGTTACAAGAAAATGCTGAATTATTTATTAAGTCGCCAGTTTTTAAATTATACTGATTTTTTTAATTAAAACTAAATTTAAATCAAAACATATAAAAGTAAATCAACTAGAAAATTTTGTCTTACCATTGTAAATTGATAGTTGTCAAAACTGAATTACTAGATAAAACAAAAGAAGGACCAAGAAGTATAAAAGCAGAATTATGAATTAGACTATGGCTTAAAATGACAGTAGACATTCAATATTAACTTTATGAATTTAGCAGAATGACCTAACTTTCCCATTATAGTATAGTTGATTTTCTTAATATCTGTTTCTCCAAATTTTAGAACCGAATTCAAAAAGGTCTTTATTTACTATTTCCTTCGATTTTTATTAATATATTGCTTTTCTAATAGTTTAATCATAGAAAAATAAATGACCACATTATAAATATATACATTTATTTTAGTTGTTACTTGTATTGTACTCAGTATTTGAAAGGTACTTATTTTTTAAATTTATTTTTTATGGTACTTTCTACCAGATTCCAAGCATGAAAATAAATATTTCCTTTTACTTTCTGGCAGCCGTTAATTAATACTCTTCAGTTTGTAACCTATAACTAAAACGAATCTATTAACTAATATTATCTTTATTTTATTACCACAAAATAAATTATAAATATATCCATAAATGGAGATACTCATAACGGTATATATTTTAGTTTCTTCCGATTTTATTATAATAGTATTGAATGAAAAATGGTTTATTGAGGTATTTGACATGAGTTGGCTAACAAAATTGGACCAACTACGGATACTTACAAATATACAAATGTAGGTACTCGGATACAAATATCCAAATCCATTTTTCGGATACTTTTATAAGAATGCTTTTAAGAATACATTTAAGAATACATTTAAGAATACTTTTAAGGATACATTTAAGGTACTTTTAAGGATACTTTAAAGGCAAAGGTATTTTAAGGATACTTTTAAGGTACTTTTAAGGATACTTTTAAGGTACTTTTAAGGTACTTTTAAAGTACTTTTAAGGTACTTTTAAAGTACTTTTAAGGTACTTTTAAGGTACTGTTAAGGTACTTTTAAGGTACTTTTAAGGTACTTTTAAGGTACTTTTAAGGTACGTTTAAGGTACTTTTAAGGTACTTTTAATGTACTTTTAAGGTACTTTTAAGGTACTTTTAAGGTACTTTTAAGGTACTTTTAAGGTACTTTTAAGGTACTTTTAAGGTACTTTTAAGGTACTTTTAAGGTACTTTTAAGGATACTTTTAAGGACATTTTTAAGGATATTTTTAAGAATGCGTACTTTTAAAACACGTCCAGTCTGTATAGTGAGTGAATCGTCGTATTCGTCCTTGCGATGTAGTTCAAAGCAATGCTAAATGATTTTGTTAAAAAAAAAAATGCTAAAAATATTAAGACGTTACATTAATCATAAAAAAATATTTTCCCAACATTTTAAACTTTATAGAGTTCACCAAAACAAAATTATAAATTATAATTTAGTATTTTTCTTTTACTATTTTTTTAAATTGTGTATTGCAATGGTATCTTAAATACTGCAATATTAAAAAAACGTATTTTATTTCTAGTTATGCTTATTCAGAAGGTATATACAAAAATATTTTAGTTATATCTAATCAATATGAAGGTTTTTAATAAAGATAAAGTAGAAATGACGAAGGGCTCACATAAAAGCAAAGGTATGATCAGGGATGAGTGTAGTATATAGAAAATATGGCGGTGTCTACTTAAATTGAAACCATATGGAAAACTTTTTTATTATTGGTTTTGTAAAAAGTTCTGCATGGTCCAAAACTTTACTCTTGAGTCAAATTCACATTTTTTGGCAAACCTCGTATACGGCTTAAAAAATTGATATCTGATGGTTGTGTTTCAAGTTTTAGACAATGCAGAACTTTTTATCACGAATAAATTTTTTCACAAAACCAATAATAAAAAAGTTTTCCATATGGTTCCAACCGGATATCGGATACTTACAAATTTGGTCCCGAATATGGATACCGGATACAAAATTTTAAAATTACCCGGTTACAGCTTTCAAATACTACCAAACTCTGTCGACTAAGTATTAAATCATAAAATTTGTTAAGTCTTGTACAAGATCTGGCAACATCAAATTTAACCTTTCTAAGTTAGCTATTCGGCAAAATCTTAAGTAAAGGAAGATATCAAAAATAAGAACTAATAAACTGTTGTGATAGTAATAAACGTAAATATCTTAATGCATTTAACCTTATTTAACTAATTAATAATTTAAAGTAATGTTCATCATTTCCTTTTTCAAACGATTAATTAATGTATACCTATATTCATAATCATAAATATATTTTAAAAATCTTTCTAATATCGATGATCTGGTATCTATCAAGCTTTTAAAAAAATACATTTTGCTTTAATATGTCTTAAATCTTTATATTTATATAAAATATAGTTTTAATAGATCTAGTATCACTTTTATACGATGATAATGACACTGAAGAGATGAATTAATTTTCTTCCACCAAGGATGAGTTTCATATAAAATTGAACTTCATGTGCTATTTGGAATAATACTATTGAAAGGCTTGATATAGAGGAAATTTCCAAAATAACGGCTTAGACAATACAATCCTATTCTTCATCTCATAAGAAATTTAGTAATATATATTTTCTGTGAATAAATCTTTATTTAATAACTTTCAAACAATTTTGTGCCAAATTTGGCTAAATAATAATGGAGTGGCGTACGTATGGAACAGCACATTCCAGGAAAAGTTTTGGTATACCACTATTTTTATTAAAATGAATTTCATACGAATTTGATTATCTTCTTTAATACGAGTAGGATACAAAATAAAAAGTTGTATATAGATAATTTAAAAATAATCATAAAGCATAGAGGGTATACAAGATAATTTTTAATAAGGATCCACCCTGAATATCCCAAAATATGTGACATGCCTTTTTTTCTCTCTCCTGGGCCTATTGCCTATTGGCCTATTGTGTTTTACCCCATGTTAGTTCATAGCACCCACTCTGTCACCTTCGTACCTTGTACAAGTTTGTAGAGATCCTTGGGTGAGTGGGTTCTATACGTTGTTGCATCAACCTGGGGTTGTCCAAAAAGAGCCTGTCTTTTGCGATCTAGAGCTTCGCATTCGCATAGTACGTGTTTTGCCGTTTCTGGTTTCTTGTGACAGTCGGCACATGAGTTCCCCATTGTACATGCCAATTTTGTTCAAGTGTCCCTTTACTGGGGTGTACCTAGTCATGAACCCTATTATCACTTTCAACTGGTTCCTATTCATTAAGAGTAGTTCTCCAGTTCTTTTGGGACATGGTCTGCCTATGAAGGCTTTTCCATGTGCCTGTTTTGGGGTGCTTCCCCAATAGTTGATATGTTGTTCCCCAATAAAGTCGTTTATGAAACCCCGGACTGTACTTTTTGGTACTCCTGGGTTTGTGTCTGGTTCCGGTGTTTCTTCTGGCCCTCTTTTTGCAAGTTCGTCAGTCTTTTCGTTGCCTTCGATCCCTTGGTGACCTGGCACCCAAAATATTTCGGTCTGCCAGTATTCTTAGTTCTTCGATGCATTCCCATACCACTCATACCAGCTTCGATGTAACTTTCTA